ACCATTGCAGTGCCTTGCCTCGACTAATCGCTCATATGAAGTCCAGACTCTTGTATCCCCGAGAACTGTTGGACCCAAGCTATAGCGTTGTAACACAATCAAACAAGCCTCTCCAAATAAGACTTACTCAAGACGATGATCATCGCATTTATTCTCTCCACCTCCGTTTCCGAGACCTCGATAGGTCAAATAACCATTAGCCCTCTTGAAACTACCGGCATACTACTGTACTCCACCTCACAAGTCCCATTCTTTTATCTTGTCATTCGATTCAATGCTTTGCATGGGCCGTCAGAAAACGAGCAACAAAATTTCAGCCCCGACACATGAACCATTCGAGGCAGCTACATTTTAGCGCTTTTAAGTAGAAAATCCAGGGTGCTTGACATGTGATCATATCTGATCCAGCAAACCGTCAGTCCACTTCTTTTGAGAACAATAAGATCGGGCGCATCAGATTTGTGCTAGAAGTCCTGATGGATTACGCATAGCCTTGTATCGAATGGCAAGACGGAAACAGAAAAAATGATAAGACCTGTTGAGAGGCTAAATAGAGCAAGAATGCAAGGTAATGAGTACGAATCACCAAGGCAACTAATGTGTGGCCTAGTTAAGACCTTCATCGGTTGACTAGATATGGTGAAGATCGAGAGTGAAACAGAGATGCAGTTAGTGAGGATGTCGTCACAGATAAGCAAAGCTAGGTAAGGAGCTCTTCCCGCTATTTACTACTCAGTACGTATTAGCCTATTTCAGATAGACGTTGCACGGTTGACCTGGTTTCGGATGAGGGGGCGGAGTCTGGTAGATCTGATAATAGGTTGGGGTAGAAATTGTGAGATTGCTGGTCGACAAAATGCAAGGGCCAAGACTAAGCAATTAACTGAAGTCGTACTTGATGAGCAGAGAAGAGCAAACTTTGGAAATAGGACTGATGTCGCGTAAAAGAGATAACAGCTTAACTAGAAATTGGGACAAACTAAAACAAATTACTGACATTGGAATAATGGGTAGTTAGTCAAAAAAATAACATAATGTTAACGAGGCTAAACAAATAAGCAAACGCCGACTTTGGGAACAGTATAAGTATGAACCCATAATTGTGACCACAAAGCAAAAGAAGTGGACTCAATGTATTCGAAAAGTAACCAGCTAAATCTAAAGTGTGATTCAGACCAAAGAAGATTTTTGCTAAAATAAAAGTGCAGAAAAGCAAACAGAAAATTCAAAAATGATGGAAAATAAATAAATGAAAATGTTTTTAATAATTTACTCACATTCAATTCTGAGATTCTGAGAGTAGAGCTATTGATCTCAGGTGCATCGGATTCACTAAATGAGAAGACAGGGTCAACCAAGTCACCATGGGATGGAACAGAATGGCTGTTGACAAGCGGTCGCTCGTCCAAACTGAGACCAGAAACAGTAGAAACGGGGACACTTCCTTGATGCTCCGTATTAGAATTCTCGGAGGTCCGCTGCATTGTTTGCAGCAAGGCCAGCAGAGACTGAACACGAGCCTTGTCACCACGATCTAGGTGCCACTAATGATAGGGTTGTTTGTTTCGGGAAAAATGACCGTAGCATGTTATCTATTTATCCTTACTCAAACACACATTTAATAGAAAATTAAGCGATAATGAAGTTAGTGATTTCGGATCAGCAAAGGTGATATATTATGACAAATATCTCACAACCTAAAAACAAGAACTGCATAGCAAGCAGTTAGACATGGTGATGGATTAATTTGGAAATATTAATGTTAAATACAAGATTATTGGTTGGACGGAAGAGAAATGAAGAGCAAACACTTCGGCGTTTAAAAATATCAAGAAAGATATAAAAGCATTTTAAAAATAGAGTGGAAGCTCAATATGGCCTACCGAAAATAGTCTGCATGAGTTTATAATTTGGCGTATACTAGAATACACATGATACTTACGCTTAGTCATTAAAAAATGATATTTCTTCCAAAGAAAAAGCTAAGTGTTATTAGATGATAATAAGGAAATTAGAGCTTATAAAGGAGATCTGAAGTCCCAAAAAAGCTGTTCTCTCCTTCATTCAGCCTTCTACGCTTGATTGCATGATTTATTGGGGAGTTAAACAACGAAAAGATTGAGTAAACATTAAATAAAAGAAAAATAAACAAATGGAAAGGACAAATATGCGAGCTCAGATTGGCCGTCCGGGGCAAATCAGGAAACGACTCACCCAGCAGAGTATCAAGCGGAAATGGCTGTTTAAATAGGCTTCTTCAGGACGACGCATGATGCACCACTTCATACAAGCTGCCCCACGCTACCATGGCAGTGCGCTACCCAAAGTAAATCAGAACAATTTTAACTCTGCTCCAAATAAACATAGCAGACAAATTAGATTTTGGTGTCGTTGAGATGGCAGAAGAGCCCAGGGTCTTTAAGATGCAGCTAAAGTTAGCAGTTCCAACATCCATCATCATTAGAGCTGGAACTCAATCTTGTAAGTCTCAAATTAATACTAGGGCAAGAAGAGGTAGACATAGCCGGATAGTATTCTTGCTTTAGTTTTAACTTGAGAAGTTTACAAGAATGAGTCCAAGCTCTAATGATGCCCATTATATTATGGAAGAAAGCTCAGCCCGTTTTCACCCGAAATGAAAGAGGAGATCTCGTTGACTGCGTCGACCTGAACTTCGTAAAAAAGCCAAACGGCTGCAGTACACCGGGACTTATCCCTCCTCTTTTGGTGAGATCGACCTACGAATCTTTTCTTCATGCACTTTCATACGAAATGAAGTTACCCCAATAATGTTATGTCAGGAGATTAAGCAAAACCCATTCACTCTTCGTATCTATAAAAAATACAAATAATAGAATAAACAGCTCTGTCGGCTTTTCAGCTTTGCTAACTATCCTTTTAAGCCCCAATATTTCGTTTTACAGTCGGCAGGAATACCAATTGATAGAAATAATTAATACTCGATTTGCCAACAGGCAAATTTGATGTAACGTACGCGAACCCATGCATAAATCATTTGACTTGCTAGTAACCTGGAGGGCATAGTCAGGAAGATTGAGTTTGACCGGCAGCGAATTAAGAAGTCCGGCGAGTCGAGAATGATGAGCAAAATTTGAGCATGAGGACTGTACAGGATCAAGACAAGAAGTCATCATTGGGCCATCGGGCTGGAAACCATCATTGTATCCAGCTGCCTGTGCATCCTCCAGGACCAAACAGAGACGGAGGATCTGTTCGCGATCGGTATAGTGCACTGCTAGCTCTAGGCCTGCCTCAGGCCGTCCTAGTCGGTCTGCTGGATAAGTCAGATAGAAAGATGGGATTAAATTGAGTATAGTTAAAAAATCATATTAACACACATAGAAGAGTCTATTAATATATGCTATTATAAATATTGCACGTGAATGAATGAGTAGTAGTTCCCAAGATAAATTGGGAAAGATATAACTACTGGGCATTGAGTAAGCCACGGTTTCCAAAAATACTAACAATAAGCAAAGGCAAGGTGGAATCCTGATCCAACGAGATAACATTAAATCGAAGCTATGCGGACCAAGATGATGCGGCATTTCGCTTAGTTGCAGTCTCATTTAGCCTAATAGTGTTGGTTTGACCTCATTTTCACAATTTGGTGGGAGCGACAGAAAGACCTTGTGGAACGCACCTAGTCCTGCGTCCTCTGCCAGAGTATTCGTGATGATTTACGGCACCAAACGTTTCGTCGGCATATTCAGTCAGAGGCACCATCCTTGGCATAGATTTACAACTTATCAAAGTGACGAATGAAGACAATTCCCTTGACCAATTTTCTGTTTAACCATTGTAGAGTCACTTCTCGCCCCGGCTTCTAGAGCAGAATATCTTTTTCTCAACCCTACTTTATATGGCCCATTTACCTATTCACAACATTCTGTGTTCTCGTTTCCTCTTGTCGACTAAGAGTGTCATCTCAAGTAGATTAAGTGAAGCATAATCACCTTTACTATTTGTCTCATATTCCGTAAGTATGGCTTCTGGGTCGTGACTTATAACCTTCATTTAGCACCCTCCATCCCGATAATCAGTTATTCCCTACCATACATAAAAATCACTGCCAAGCTGTGTAAAATCTCGTAGACTATGAGCCTTCAATTCTAGCTGCTGGTTGAGTCATATCCAAAAATTTAAAAGGTGATTATGATTTATTAACTCCATTTTAAGCGACTCTTAGGTCATTAGGCTTTGAGAATCAGAACCTGAGATTAAACCTTTGACAACTCTGATTTAGGATCCGTATTGCATATAGACGCTAACACGCACACATTTGCATACGCATACACTCGAGCAAAAGTAACAGGACAAGAATAAGATAATTAACCAAACCACTCTATATAGATCTATCTAGGTTTTTAATTTTATTTTGGCCCAATTGAGTCTATATAAGAAGCAAGATAGAGCCGAATAGTGTTCTTGTCCTAGTGTTAACGTAAGACTTACAAGAATGACACCCAGCTCTGATGTGGCCATCAAATGATAAACGAAAGATCAGCACGTTTTTACCCGTAACGAGGGAGGAAGTCTCGTGGGCTGCGTCAACATGAATATCGTATAAAAGCCGAACGGCTACGGTATAACGAGATTTATCCGTCCTTATCTGGTGAGATCGACCAACGAATCTCTTCTTCATAAACTTTCATATGAAATGAAAGTCCCCCTAACAATGGTATCTCAAGAGATTCATCGAAACCCAGTTTTTCATCGTATCTATAATATAGAAAAGGACATCGGACAGTGTGTATCCAACTAAGTCGGCCTGACAACACGACGAAGTTGCGAAAACGGGATCAGACCCATTCTACACATCGAAAGGAAACTGCGATCAAAATACAGTCCACAAAATCTTGGTCTCCATACCTACAAGATAACATTAACCTTATCGGACTGTTTGAAAAATAAAGATAAATGTAAGAAACTAATGAGGCAACCTACCGACGAAAGTGATGAGCCGCGTTCGCAGCCTTGCAAACCAGACTCGCATTCGATGCATGCGCTGAACAGACTGTAGTTGACAGGCGAAAATGCGCTGAGAAGATTCTGTCTGGCCTTCATCGTCCTCTCCACCTCTGGATCGGTCCTTGTTGGCTCCCTGATCGCCCCCCTCCGTGTCCATGCAGCCGCCTTCTTCTGTACTAGAGGCATCGATACCTTCGCTTCGGAGGTCATTTTGATCTATAACAGATTGTTGCTCTTCGGCCCAGTTAACACGTGATTCTGCAGCAGTAAGCAAGCTGCCTGCGAGCTCAACTGATAATCCTATCAAAGAGGATAGTCGTGATGAAGCTCCGCTCGAGGCGTAGGGGAGTCGGCAAACCCGAGAAAGAAGATCCAGCTTTAACATATTTTGTGGCCATCGTATAAGAAAGATAAAGTAAATAAAAAGTAAAGATTTAACTACTTATATGGTGCGAGTAAAATTATTAACGAAAAAAATTAGAATGAGTGAGGCTCATTTCTAAAGGACCGCGAATCTTACCATTTTTAGTAGATATGTGCCAATGCCATATGGCCATGCATCTGTTATCCAGCATGTCCAGTAGATTACGCAGCTACCTGGTAATTTCCCGTGCTTAAATCTGCCTGTAACATCTACGGCGGCCTTCCCAGCCTGTAATTCGTATCTAGCTCGGGGTATCAAATGTCTACGGCGAAGACGGACTGCGGCGGTTATCGCAGCAGTAACTAGGCCAGCAGCAGAACGGATGTGTGCAAGAGCCTGGGCTCTGGCCTCTTCTGAGCCACGGGGTAACAAGCCATGAGCCGAGGCCTGATGGATTACATTTTTGGTTGATGGAGTTTTTTCAACTGGCGAATCAGCAGTAGAAATAGTTTCTGCCTCCGGTGCTACCAAATTAAGCATCATCTTGTGACAAGAAGCAGATAGCCTGATCAAAAGACGTGGCAGAAGGCTGGGTGTCTGGCGGAGGAGCTCGCCAGGACGCAAAAGATTGATTCCGGAAGCAGGGAAACCGGAAGACATACATACAGAGGATAGGATGGACTGAATACTCTCTGGCGGTGGATCCCTAATTAGTTTGAGTTGCCGATTATAAAAATAAACAAAATATGTTAGAAAGGTATAGGACCAAAGCAAAAAAGTAAATATAATTTGTAAAAGAGGAAGTTTTCTAGCAGAGAAATACTTATAGCATAAAGCATAGTCATGTATAGGCTGTGGTAAAATTCTGCGAATGGCCTTTTATTATCCTATTTTGGAATATCATTGGATCAATATTAAACCAAAATTACAGCAATATATGTTAAATAATTGAAGCAAATTAACAGTTACTAACAATATTATTTAACAAGTAAATAAGTTAAGCGAATGTGAAAAGTAGTAAGCCATGTCCCTATCAGATTTATTTGTTTCAAGGGTCCACAATAAGTATCACGACTATAGTCAAAAATATAATTAGGAGAATAAGGTTCAGGATCAAAATAAGATAAGTAATGAGATGTTTTCTAGAAAAAAAAACTATATATATATACATAAATATAGCTCTCTGAAGTCACTATTAACCCAGTTTGGTCACAAAAAGCCTTGGAGGGTTACATTCACTTATTTCGGCGTCAGTAAACGGATAAATAAATCTTATGCTCGGGCGTCGAGCCATATTATTACTCCTTTACCAAACATTTTACAGTGAGCCAAATGAGGTAGCACTTCCATAATTTCCATAGAGATGATCCAAATTGTTGTAAACTTATAAGGATGATTTTTTGCAATCACTGCGAGTTTATGTAATCCCCCAGGCTTATGTGGAATAAAACAAACTAACAAAAGGGAAAAATTGAAATTAAGAAACGAATACCGCTGTTTTTTTTATTGGTTATATTACTTCCATTATAAATTTGTTTTGCACTATTTTAGAAATGACTAGACGTGATTTAGGATCAGAGCATAAGATCCCGAGTTATTTGAGGAAATTTGGTAGTGCCAAAGTAAAGAGCGGGAGTAATAATTAAAGAGGCGAATTATTTGTCGCTAGGACAAATTAAAACAACAAACGTTCGAACAATGAGCGTTGGTTGCACACTCATCCACCTAGTTTCAGCATCGAGATGTACACTGGCCGTTCCTGTTCATCCCTCCAATTCTAAAATTGTGTGACATTTCTCTTACAGTCTTAATCAAAATGGAATTTCATAAGTCACTTGGTCAACTCACAGTAGCAGCCGAGTTTGTAGATAGTGCATACCCTCTAGCAACTCGGCCCCTGTAGCCAAACTGCAGACAAGATGTGTCAAACTAGGTCGACCCAACTGAGAGATTATGTCGAGACCAACGGTGGCGTCAGTAAGTCGCCCGGACGATAAAGCAGGTGATTTGCAATCATCCTCTTCACTCTCCTCCGATCTTATATCGTCGTCCGAATCCTTGTCCTTGATTTCAGAGGGCTCGTCATTGCTCAAGTGGCCATCAATCCAAGTCGGCCTGGTAATGTCTTCAGCAGCCCGGCGTGCCAGCTCAGGATCGACACGCTGAATGAGTTCCGCAGCATATTGAGGCAATACCGGCTCGTCTACCTTAACGGTGCATAGATGGCGTGCATCAAGTCTAAGGAATAAGGTATAAAGAAAGAAGTTTATCTTCGAGGGTTAATTCAAGTAAAAAAGCAATCGATCTTTTCGCATAGTGCTGAATTAAGACCACAATCATTTTAAATAAAGCAGAGAATAAGATAATACTCGCAAAAATAAAGCTGATACCACATCTTAAAAGGTATTAATCTATCTCTTCAATCGCGGTGAGCAGGCCCAAAGGAGAGAGGCTTGACTACGGTTCTGTATTCAAAATATGAAATTATGGAATAAATAAAAAAGGATAGACAGAATATTAAAGAAATAACAAATAAATAAATATAGAGTTATATATAAAAACATAACATTAGCGTGGTTTATGATGAAGAAATATTATATAGTTGAGTTTATTCGGTGAATTTCGATGACCGAATGTTTGGTGATACACTATCATCAATTCTTACCCAATGTCTATTTTGCCAGCTTCCTCCCCACCAGAAACTCCTGTCCCCAGGCCTAGAGGGTCTGAGATTAGAACGACTTGGTCGGTGCGATTCCAATCGGCCAGCTCCCCTGCGTAATAGCGCCGTCGCGGACGACCATCTGGACCCATTATGGCTCCAATACCAGCTCGATGACGTCGCTTGCCCACACCTTGAGAGTGTTCAGAGGCGGAGAAAAAACTCTTCATGTAGACACCCAATCTGAGCCAGCTGGCCGCTTGGGCCAATGGAAGTAGTCCAAGCGAATCACCACCCATAGGCGAGATAACATGATCTTCGCTATTATTCCCGGAGCTACTTTCTTCATTAAGCGGCTGGACCATGGGATTATTTAGTAAATAATTCTGCATGCATTGACGCCAGAATTCGGCGAGTCGATCCAATGCGACCAACTTGGCCCTATACCACTCGGCTGGCAAATGAAGAGCCCCAGAGCCGTCTGAGAGCATGGGTGCAACTGATGCAGCCGCATCGGTTGAGGTTGAAGAAGTGGGAGTTGAGGCTGGGGTACCAGTGACGTGAGAAGCCACAGAAGGTCGTTGTAGGTCCCCAGGCAGGGCGGGATTCGAAGTGTCACTGCAAGCAGTTTGTGCAAGTCCAACAAACGGGAATCCAACGTTCCCGAGAAGGCCAGACCATCCAACAGGACCTGATTGACTAGCTGGTTCTGCGGATAAGATTTCGGCTGTAGGGTTGCCTTGTAATGAAGCTGCAACTGATAGAGCCGATAAAGAGGTGGTACCACATCGTTGTCCAAATTCGGAGGCACGACTACGAACAAGATCTTGGTCCCCATCTCCTATACTCGTCTCATTGAAGGTAAACCCATGGTGACGTAATGTTGTCGAGTCTAAGGGTCGACTCCGAAGAGATCGGCGCCCACCTGACCCTCTTGATGCCAAGCAGGGGTCAATAGGGGACGCCAAGGCAGCTTTATGGCTCGTAGCCCTAGGGGTAGCTAGCGACGATTGGTTCGTAACAGGTAACTTGAGAAATGAGCGCCATCGGGAATCAGCAAGTGGAACTTCATTAAGGATGCGCCGAATCAGGTAGTGAAACGCACGCAGCACAGATAACCGAAGATGATCGGAATCCATGGACAACGAAGAAAGAGTAGAAAGCTGAGCATCTGCTTGCTCCTGTATCGGATATAGGGAGAAAAATGTTGGCTAGTTAGAAGCCTGTCAGAAATAAGATTTTAGACAAAAAGTAAAATTTTAACTTATCCTCTTGGCCAATGCCGAACTTCTTTGTCAAAAATAACTTAAAAATAAGCTTTGTTTAAGATTAAGATTTTATACAATAGCATATTAAAAGAAGAACAGGGCAAATAAATTTTGGGCCAAAATTAATTTCATGTAAGAGGAAAAGGACAAAAAATCCGAAAGTGCAACAATGTGCAAGCTGCGTACTTTGTCTGCTGCTGTTCGATCATGCTCATTAAAATGCGGTGACGCAGTCTTCGTATTCAAAACAACGTCAAATTAAGGCTACGTAGCGGCGTTTAACTCCTTACGTGCACATAACACAAAATAGACCCAAAGCTTGAAATGTGCCCAACCCATTTGCCAGCATAGTTAGCCATATACCAGCTTAGCATGACGATACGAGCAGTGATAGAAATTCTGAGTATTATTAATTTGAGAAGACCACATTTTGTATTTAAATTCACTATAGATACGAAGACTGACTGGGTTTCGAATGAAGGTGCATGAAGAAGAGATTCGTAGGTCGATCTCACCAGAAGGGGATGCCTGAATCCCGTCGTACTGCAGCCGTTTGGCTTTTATACGTTCAGGTTGACATAGTCCACGAGATCTCCACCCTCGTTTCCGATGAAAACGGACTGAGCTTTCGTTCATCATATGATGGAAATTATCAGAGCTAGAACTCATTTTTGTGAAAGTCCCAGATTAACACTAGAGCAAGAAGACTAGTCGGCTCTATCTTATCTCTCATTGCCCTAGGATTAACTTGAGACTTACAAGAATGAGTCCAGCTCTGATGATGTCCATCATATGATGGACGAAAGCTCAGCCCGTTTTCACCTGAAACGAGGGAGGAGGTCTCTTGGACTGTGCCAACCTGAACACCATATAAAACCCAACCGGCTTCAGTACGAGATTAAGTCGCCCTCTTCTTGTGAGATCGACCTACGAATCTCTTCTTCATGCATTTTCATACGAAATGAAAGTCCCCCCAACAATAAATTCACTATATC